AGAAGGAAAAGATCAGCCCGTTTCTCAGAGAAGGGACAGAGAGGTGAGGAATAAAGGTAAATTATGTGAAAAATAATGCGTTTTTTAAAAAACGAAGCGTTAACACATGTTAGATTGCACCCCATAAACACAATCAAGCCTAGAAAAAACCCAGTGAACCACCCCTTTAAAGGCTCCTGAGGGTTTGAATTTTGAAAGTACTCCCCCAGAGGGCCCGTGAAAGCCTGTTGAGAGGAATGAATAATTTGACAAATAAAGCTGGCTGGACACACAGCCTCAGTCACACTGATAAGTTTGTGGGCTGTAATGGAGTTAGAATTGGAATTTCACCGGGGGCCACACAAAAACACATCACACAAGATGAAAAAGAGCCACTCACACACTCACACACACACACACACACACACACACACACACACTGAGCACGAACAAACCCTAAACTGTGGGGCCTGGAGAGCTAATCAAACCAAATGAGTGAATTATATCATTAATTACTACGATTCAGAGATCGATTCCTTCAATAATCCTTGAGCTTTATGTGGGAAACCAAAAGATGGACTCCATAAATTGTCAACAATACTAAAGCAGAATCAGCTGACTGCTTCTTTCAGAATTTCAGACATAAATATACTGGAAATCAATATGAATAAATGACATATTTATATTGGTTTTAACTGTGTTTTCTTATTTCTGAAATACACAGTCAGCTGACTCTGATTTACTAGCTCTGTTTTTTTTTTTTTGAATGAATAAAATATTAATTTGTATATATATGTGTGTGTATGTATGTGTATGTAAACATATTTATGGGGTTGGAAGTAGGTCAGCATTCCCGGAAATGCTCACGGGGGACAGAGGCAGTCATGTGTTGAAAGAAATAGAGCTGGGAAGATGAGTCTAAACAAACACATTTCACACACACTTCATGTATTCACTGCTCTATTTCCTGTAGGTCTTTCCTTCAAGTGCTTCTCTCGAAATCTCTCTTGCTCACTTGTTTGTTTACTTTCCCTCTCCCTCTTGTTTCCCGACTTCCTTTTTTTTTTTTCTCTCTCAGCCATGAAATAAGTGCAGATTACTGTGAATTATGTGATGTGACACATTTGCAGCTAGTCTATAATAAACTCTGTGAATTACAGTGTTCTCGGAAAGCCGCTCTAAACTGTATGCTGAGTTAGTTTAAAATTCTTAATATATCATCAAGGTATATCAATATAAACTGTATTGTCCTATATCTTTTATAAATTGTTGTTATGAATATGTGTATCTTTATACCCATAATACATAAATAAATAGGCAATACTTATTCTATCCACTTGTGATGGGGATGGTATTGGATCCAGGCTGATTTTGTCTACCAGTCCACCCGTCTGTATGCATTGTGCAGACAGGACATTGAGTGCTTGGTGCCAATGGGCAAGGATTATAAAAACATATTTATGGGGTTGGAAGTAGGTCAGCATTCCCGGAAATGCTCACGGGGGACAGAGGCAGTCATGTGTTGAAAGAAATAAATCTGGGAAGATGAGTCTAAACAAACACATTTCACACACACTTCATGTATTCACTGCTCTATTTCCTGTAGGTCTTTCCTTCAAGTGCTTCTCTCGCAAACTCTCTTGCTCACTTGTTTGTTTACTTTCCCTCTCCCTCTTGTTTCTCCCTGTTTTCCTGACTTTTTTTAACAAATACCTTTCTCAGCCATGAAATAAGTGCAGATTACTGTGAATTATGTGATGTGACACATTTGCAGCTAGCCTATAATAAACTCTGTGAATTACAGTGTTCTCTTGTCCGCTGAGCCACATACCCCCTTGCTTGGCTTCAGTGTATTCTTAGATTCTCAGTGACTGCTTGAGCATGCACATCTGCTGGTATCAGTGAGGATAAAACTTCTTTGGAGTCATTTAATAGATTTAATAAATATTAAATACATAATTTTTACACACACACTGGAAACATCATTCTTTTAATCACTATTTGTCATGATTTTCCATAAATACTGAAATATCCTTAGATACATTGACTTGAGAAGCAAAACTGAATAAGATATTAAGACTTTTCATATCACATATCTTTAAATAAGTTTATTTAATTAATTATTTTGTTCTTTATTTCAATTGACAAATGTTGTTTTCTTATTTTAAGCAGAAATCTAACTAAGTTTTATGAAGTTCAGCTTTTAAAAAAAACTATGCCAATAGGGGTGAGAAAAATAAACGTAATATCTGAAAATAAGTCTTAATTTCTTATGCAATCATTCTTCAAGTAAATTATTTATTTATATATTTTTCTTTATTTTAAGGATGTTTAAATATACACTGAAAAATTGTAGAAACAATTTTCACTCAGAAATTGATGGTAAATTTTACAATTAATTACAAAGAAATGGAAGCCCTGGTGAAAAATAAATGTACTAAAATGTATTTGAATTACATTTATTTCATGCTAAGTATACTAAAATGCATTGATTTATTTATGTGCTTAATAAAATTGTACTTTTGGTATAATAAACTGGTATACTTAAAGTCTGCTAAATTTGAAAAAAATTAAGGTTACACTTTATTTTAAGGTGTCCTTGTTACAGTGTAATTATACATTTAAGTACTGAGTAATATTAATTAACTACATGTACTTACTATATGGTTAGGGTTAGGATTTGGGTTTGGTTTAGGGTTACTTACATGGAATTATGCATAATTAATTGTTATTATAATAGTAAGTCCATGTAACATGTGTAATAAGGACACCTTAAAATAAAGTGTTACCAAAATTAATTTAGTACTTAATGCATTTTAATTGTGCGGAAGTAGTGCTGAAGTCCAACTAAAGATATACATAAGTATATTTGATTGTGCTACAGTGGAACTATTTCAAGTATACACTTTAAATATCTTGCATTTAAAGACCGATATTATTCAAAGATCATACAATCCTCATCAATAGTGACATTGAAACACATTTTAGGCTTAATATTAAGAAATGTGCATTGTGCACAAGAAGTCCTCCAAATAAAGTTTAGAAAAACATTTAACTTCAGTTGCTCTAAGAATATAGATATAGGGGACTTAAAAAAAAGTTATTGGGGGTGAGAAAAATTTAACTTTGCTTCTCAAGTTTATTTATTTGAAGATGTTTAGATATTTTTATTGGGAAACAAGACAAAACTAATGACTGGAAATGGTTATTACGGAGTAATTACTCTTGTTCGAAGAACACCAATGGTCAAAATTAGTGATGACAAAAACCAATGACAATTCAGTCCATGGAATTAACCTATATTTCGCTTCAGCTACTTCAGCTAGTATATATATAAGAGGCCAAATCACTGTGAGTGGAGCGAATCAGCAGTCAGAGTGAGAGAGTGCATATGAGAAACACTTCAAAGTGCTCATTTTTATCTAATCATTTTAAAAAGACCAACAGAAAAGAGCACATGAGTGGAATTTCCATAGCGGACTTCAATAAAAATCACTCAGGGAATAGAAATGAATAACGCACATGAAGTGTTCAGTCATTCAAAGTGCATGAACCCATATCAGTCAGTGCAGAAATGTTTACCGTGTGACCAAAGACCAAGATCCAAAGCATCATGGATAGAGGGTGAAGAAGAGACAGAGCAGCAGGCAAGATCTTAAAAGGAAGGTGTGGCTGTTTTAATAATGTGACTAAACAGTCGCAAATTCCCTTTAAATCCAGTCTGCTGGGTAACCATAGCAACGGTGACAGATGAATCCCATTAGGTGCAGAGAGGACCTCAGGAAGACCCAAAAAGCACCTTAACTCTTCGTAGACTTTGCCTGAGGCACTTGTGATGCAATGTTGCACCAGAGTATGATGAGACAAACTGTTTTTGAGGACAGTAGGCTAGAGAGAGAGGTCAAGGATAACTCACATTGACGATGGCTTCTTTAGTCTGAGCCATATCTGATATCACACCGTCTGTGATGATGAGAAGCACAAAGTACTGTGAGCCGTCTTGAACTGCTGCAGCATACCTGTGTGTGCAGACACACACACACACACACACACACACACACAGTCACCTTTTCATATTAACAAACATATTAGCAGAAAACGTTATCCAAATGAACCATAACCAAAATATGAAAATCTCTTCATGCTGGTACATGTTTGTTTTAACATGGAGGATGAATAATGAAAAAATAAGCATCCTCAATGCACACTTAGTATTCAGTGCTGAACCTCATGCATATATATATTTGCTCTGGGATGTCCCTGTGCTATTGACACAGCTCTTCTGCCTTCATCAAAATCCCATAATGCTCTTTGTGATGCAAATGATTCACTTTACAGAAGCTATGACAGGAGATCTGGCCTCTCTGAGGTCCACACATGGTCACAGCAACAAGAAACAAATATTTTTTGCTTGTTAAATCATCTACATGTTAATTTTGACAAATACGTACAATAACTAACACATTAGCTACAGTATTCGTGTATATAGAAGCCCGTGTCTGCCTCAGAATACAGAAAAAGTCAAGTGCGTCTATTTTCTTGTAATTGCGACTTCTTGTACTTTTTATTCTATTGCTCACAATTACGAATTTGTTTCACATAATTGCAACTTTATAGCTCACAGTTGTCACTTTGTTGCACATAATTGTGACTATATCTCATAATTGTGACTTTGTTTCTCATAATTGCTACTTTATAACTCAGTTTGGACTTTGTTTCTCAAAACTGCAATGACTGCAATTACAGTCGTTATTATTTTTTTCACAGTTGCGACTATTTCTCACAATTTCAGCTTTGTTTCTCATAATTGCGACTTTATATCTCACAATTCTGTTTCCCAAAATGCATGTCACAATTGTGACTTTGTTTATCAACTGCAACATTCTCACAACTGTTTTTTTCTAACAATTGCAAATTTTTCTCACAATTTTAACTTTGTTTCTCAATTGCAACGTTATATTTCATACGTTACTTTGTTTCTTACAATTATGACTATCTGAGGCGTCATGCCCATTCAAAGTGAGTTAAATATAAAGTCAGTCGTATTAAAACTATGTTATGGCATGACACCCATATCTGTTACTTAAGTAAACAGTTTTTTATGCATAGTTAATAGATTACATTATTAGGTTACTTTGACCATCGCCCACTATAGATCAATTAACATAGGTGAGAATCAAGAAATTTCATGATATAGTTAATGCGTTTGGGAATATTTCGAATAAAAAGGGAAAAAATAAATAAAACATAAGAACATAAGTGCTATTGTGGCTGCTGTGTGTCACATGACGACCCCCCACTCGTGCCCCTTC